GTGTATGCTTTCATAGTAAGTTCTGCATTATTAATTTTACGAGAGAGAAACAGCTGAAACATTTTAATACAGAAAATAAGGGTTTAGGCTAAGAACATATCTTGGATTGAGACTCGCTCAAAGATACAATATTGTCGTACACTGTACATCAAAACCTAGAAGAATAATGTTAAGATACTTGAAGTGGTACCCTATACAGATAATCTTGCAACTTTAAATACTCCAATGAGTATTCTGCCTTTTTTTAGAAAGTGCACATAATAAATAGATTAGAATTTATTTATGCATTCATTAGCTTTTTTTTGCATATAATCTTTGATTGTCTTGAGAACTTTATTAATAAGATTATTTAGGTGATTTTGAATTATTATGTTATATTTTGCGCAATACTATTTAATTTCTTCTTTAACTTGAAACCTGTAGATCATTTCGGATAATTTCGTTTGGCATAAACCATAAGGTCCGAACAATATTACGTAGGACTCAGAATTTAAATCTTTTTAAGATTTCAATATTCGAAATAGCATCCCATAGTTGAATGCGGTAACTCCAAACTGATTTGAGTACAGCTTTATATAGCAGTATTTTGTTTTCAATTAATAAATCTGATTTTCCTCCGATGAGCCAGTATATTTTCCTTTATTTTAGTCCTAATTATTTTAGTTTTATGAATGTATGTTCTTCCCATGTAAGCCTTCGGTGTATATGAATACCTACATATTTTACATAGTTACTTTACGAAATGTGTTTATCATTGAAGTTAATAGGTAGACGGGTATATTTTCGAAGAGTGAACGTTGTATATATTGATTCGCTTTCAATTACTAAGATTCTCCATGAGGTAACTTTGAACATAATTATTTATGAAATGTTCTAATGATGCAGTTGCTATTGTTGCCTCTGATGTGATGTTAAAATAACTATATCGTCTGCACATGTTGTTCTCATGATGATAACAGAAGAATGATCGATCCAAGGTGAATAACAGGCACAATGTTGGGCCTAATACACTATCCTGTATTTATTTTACTTGGAAACTTCTATTTTGTAGATATAACTGTAATAGCTCATAGTGGCATTTAGGAAAAATCTCTTGAGTTTGTGCATGCCTTTTGTGCCAAATTTTGTTACACGCCTGGGCGACAACAAGGAATATGCTGGTGTAGTACTGTTTTTTTTAAGAGATTTCCTTACAGCAGATACTATTCTGTTTACTTGTTCTATCATAGAGTCGTTGCCCCTAAAATCAAACTAATTATCCGGGATAAGTTTTCTATTGATTATTATTGAGTTGATTCTAACTAAGATCAATTTTTCACAAGTTTTGAAAAGTACTAGTAAAAGACTAATCGATCTGCATGAGGTTACCAGTTCAGATTCTTTACTATTACCTTTCAAGTCGTTTAATAGCTTTTTAAAGTGAATAATCCGTTGTTTCTGCTGAATTTAGTACTCTAAGATATTCTGAATTTGTATATTTTTTTCTACTCTTTGAATGCTTTGCCTAATTTAGTTCTATCTTGACTCGATCTGGTTATCTGATATCATTTTCTAACAAAGTAATTTCTTTTCCTTAATTTTTTGGGCTATTTTATTGGATGCTGATTACTCTATGCTCGTGTTTCTCCACGGCAGTTTTCAATTCGCCAAAGTCAATTAATGGGTGTATGCTTTATAGTACGACTTTCAATCATTTGTCTTCTTTACGCTGATGCGTATAGAATTGTGTTTTTTTTCTTTTAATACATTGATAATCAGCAAATATTTTTCTGAGGTCGTTGGTTGCATTTTTATCATATTTTGCCCTAACACTTTTTATGTGAGATTGTCTTTGGCTATCGTTAGCTGTAATTAGTAGGTTTTTCAACGAGCGAATGTTTTTTATATTATGAACAAAGATTGAAAGTTATTTATTTTTTTTAAGTGTCTACATTATTGTTTACTGTATTCGCTTCATTGTTTATTGAGTTCACTTCTTCGCTTTTTTCATCTCGATTTTCTTGAAGAGTCTCATACTTAGATTTTATATACTTAACCAGTAATCTGATAATTAGGTATGCCGTTTTTTATTTTGTTTTTGCGTTTGGTTTCCTGAATTTGTTCACTGTCTTTTGCCGCTAACCAATTTCCACTCATCAGAGTTAATTTGTGTTGGATTAAATGAAACCTCCTTTTGGGTAGCCTTTATGACCAATATTATGTCTATATTTTGAGATTGTAGTATAAATCCAAATTACCACTTCACTAATTTGAATAATAGTTCAGCTATCTAAAATGTATGTATATATACGTCTGCTCTCCTCAGAGATCAAACGCAGAGTGAAATCACAAAGTTTTTATTTGGTATCAAGAGATAGAAATATAAATATTGAATTTTTAATTTAACACTTGTTGCATGATAAAACAAAACTATTTTCCTATTTTACGAAATTTTACCAAATTTTTGGGTGTTAATTGTAGGTGTAACAAATAAGCATACTTTTATTTAAGAGGAAGCAAAATTGCTTTTGGTGTTCAAATCACGGTGAAAATAAGTCAAATTTAACCATTTGATGTTCTAGTAATCCACCTGGCGCATTATTTCATGAAGCTGACGCGATAATTCTAAATGAATAAATCACACCTCGCACGTAGCCTCGTGAACGAAAAGAAAAACGTTCTCTTCGGCATGAGAAATCTTGCGATAACAGCAGACTCACACCATCAATCTTCATTGAAGAAATTAAAATCAGTGAGAAATATCCCTTGGCTTGCTTTTATTGCGTATTTAAGCGTCGCGTCTACGTAACGATCATAATCGCAAACAAATAATCGAAAGAGAGAGAGAGAGTAAAAGAGAGAGAGAGAGAGAGAGAGACTCGCCGCAGCCTCGCCAGAGATTTATGTTCTATTCATTTCGTCGCAACGTTAGCCTCTCACATGCGATTACGTGTATATGTGTGTGTGTGTGTCTGTATGTGCATGCAGTAGCAACAGCACTAGCTACTACGTGGCGATACATTAATGACAGGATCGTGTACGTGCGCGTGTGGCTGCGTGCGCTCGGGCATTTGATGGCGTTCTCTCTCTCTTGCTCTTCTCCGTGAATTACGACGCAGCGCAAGCTCAACGATCGGGGCTATTCCGCTCGACCGATTTCTCAACGGCTACTGCAAGCTCGCTTGCTCTCTCGCCGTATTCCCCGTACGAATTAGCGCAGATACAGCCTTTGCCTAATATACCCATCTAACGTATGCGACGAGAGAGTTTGAATGAAAAAGATAGCTGCATAAACGGTGTACTTTGAAAGTCAATGCTCATCTATTATAAATGTACTTAGCATTGAAAACCCCATTGATTATACTACACCTCAAGGATTTCCTCAACATTGGTATGTTCCATGTTTCCGATAATTCTGCAGCAAATTAAGTTTGCCTATACGGAAGTGCTATCGTTATCATTCCATGGATTACAGTAGTTCGACTTAAACTAATTCATACTATCAAGTCCAGATTATTCGCTCTAATTAAAAGGAGATATAAGTAATAAAGCTTTACGATTTAGATCGACTACGAGCTTCTTGTCCATATTCCCGATGATACTGGGACGTGGTGAAAGTGATATCGAAGCGCAAGATTAGAAAAACCCATCGATTAACCATCAGCAACAAGATAGACGCATAGCTGATTAGCAAGCGTCCAAGCCACCACAACAATTGATATTAGCTCGCAAGTTGGTACATCAGCGAAATCCATCGATTTCGAGCTGATTTCTAGAGCCGCGTGCGCAGCTCCCGAACGAAATTGGCTTTTTTCAACTAGATCCGGCGTGCACGAGCATGACTGGTATTTTATAACAAGCCGCTATTTCATTAACATGAGGTAGATATATATAGGCTTTTGACCTGGAGTTTAATGCAAATGAGAAAGTGAGCGAGCTGTTTGACGAGTAATCATATTTTGGGCGGTGAACTGTATGTTGAACGCCAAATATCAGCTTGATCGCGCATGGCTAATTCAATGCTGCTGCTGAAAAATGCCATATTCTTGCACCATATTACGAAAAATAGATATCCTATTGATGATTGCATCCAATCGTTCGTTACAAATAAATCTATTGCAGCGATAAGCATGAAAGCTTTATTTAAACGTGTCATCGAGAAACCTCTACCCAAAGACTCGTGCCTCGGAAAAAGGCTTAATCCTAGCTAAATAATTCCCGAGGCGTGTGTGTCTAGCAGCAGCCCCTCGAGAGCAGTGTGTTCCAATGCCGTGACCTGAAATATTTGGCTGGGCTCGCGAGCTCCTGGGAATCGGCCTACATTTCGCCCAACACAAAGGCGTTAAAAGCTGACCAAAAGAATAAAAAAATAGGCGCAGAGGGAGAGAGCTGACCAATGAAATATTCAGCTGTGTGCTATCGCTAAAAAGCGGACCGAGATAAACAGTTCTTTCGCTTTCCCTCCCTCCCTTCCTCCCGCTCTTCCCCCCCCCCCCCCTCTCTCGTCTGTCTCGTGGATAGGTCATAAAAAACGTTTGCGAATGCCTAGAGAATGCGCGTAGCGAGTTTCATCGCTGTGCCACGCGCGCGCGGCCAAGAAATGTTCAAACAAGCCCGAGATTTTTTAATATTCTTTCATTACACACACACACATACACATCATACGGCAGAGCGAATCCGCGTTTGAAAAAGTTGCCGTTATTACAACGCGTACACGCGGTTTTTTTACCCATGGCGCGTTTGAACAAAAAAATCTCAAATGTTATCTATATTGATATGGTATATAGTGAACTGCATTTGAACTGCTTTAAAGTGATATTCAAGGGTTTATTTTACTGCAATTTTCTGTTATTGAAAGGAATGAATGTATGACTTGATGCTACTTTAAAGCGCTTGCAAACCCTCTAAGAATAAGAACTAGACACCTATAAAGGAAAGGAAATCTCTCACTTGGCTTAACAAGTATACCGGAAACTGATGATTTTGATTTGTTGAGCTTGACTTAACCAACAGCAAATCTCACTCAGTCTCAGTTCGTCAAAGTGTAAAGAGCTCAACGCCAAGGAAAACGTGCCTCCTTTCGACGGTAAAGTAATTATTTCAACTTGGCTGCCGTTCTTAAAACAGAATAAGTTTCTTCAAAGTCGACATTTTCTAATCAACATATCCTTTATAGATTGTTCAATTGATTTAATATCATTATTATTTATAACAAATACAACTTTTCAGATTGGAAATGGATAAATTAAAACTAGGAATGTTGGCTCTGATATGGCAATCATTGCTGTACGAATTTAGCCTGGCTAATAGAACCGTGGACGTTCAACACAAAAAGCTCGATTTCCCGAAACAAGAGCTTGTATTCAGTTCCGAGTCATACGTTGATGGCAATGATGTATACGCAGCATGCAAGACTGTAGACAAGAGTGACGAGAGATTGTGTAAAGTAGTACGTGAAAAAGCGCCAAATTCAAGAGAAATTCAATCATGTGATGTAACCCTGAAATTAGATAATAGAACCGAGAAAAGTGATAAAAATAATGATAAACTGAGTGTAGTTCCTCTGGGAAAGGATTATGCTGTGTTTTACTTGGCTGAAGAAGGAAAGAACGCGAGTGTCAAATTCAGTATTATCAATTTGAACAATTGTAAAATTGCCGTAAACAAAATATCTGTCATGAATCCGGAAAAAGACCCTAAATATACTGTCATTGTCGTTCCTTATAATGATTCTTTTGATGTTTATTATAGAGATTCAAACAAGTGCGGCGATGTAGGATTTTGTAAGATAATTATTAATATCGAGGGCAAAATAGTTAATGGTCCAATTGCTGCTATCAATACGAATTTATATCAGTCATTTTTCCCATACGTTGTTCCAATGTGTAAACAATCGCGGAACAAAGGTATTTTCTACATGAAGTACGTCAATGGTAGCCTCAGCGAATATCATTTAATTCTGCAACAACCTGACGGTAAATGAAATATTAAGATTTATTTCGGAAACAGTTCAAATACAATTGTACATTACTTCTTCATTTCTCATTACAACCTTCAACATTTACAGGAAGTGAAAAATCATTAGGACAGCACAAAGCTTACTCTCCTACCAGAAAGTCAACGACGAACGATTTGATTGGAGTATGCTTAACAAGCGATCTAGTGAATTCGACAATCAAGTGCGTGCAATACGACGCCGATGGCACGTTGAAATTTGAAGTCGATGCAATGACTACTAACGACAGTGCTGCTATTGTCCACGTATACAATTTACCAAAGGGTGGTCTGCTATTACTTGTTGGCAAGTGCGTAGAGAAACGCGATTGTGAATCGGACCAAGTCAGTTTTATGGTTGTCAAAATGGATTCAACTGGTAAAAAACTTGGGTCGTTCGATCTTGATAAATTCAATTTTGAAACTAACGTTCCAGGACTTAAATTAGTTCCAGTATTCTATATTAATAAGGATAATAAATATTGTATTTCAATAGTACAATATCAGAGTACTGATTCTGGAAGTCGCACTGTAGGTTACATCAGTTCGACTACTTCGTGCCTCACCGATGCACATTTTTCAATATAATGTTTAAAAGCTAACCTTGATAGATATTCATTTTTCAGTTTTTTAATTTTTCAAGCTACTTCTAATAAATGTCCATTTAAAAAGCAATTCACTACGAGTATTTTAGTTTCAAATAAGTTAAGCTTCTGTATGCTTAGTGCGAAAGCATATTTCCTTTTGACAACATGTTGCATTGCTTACTTTGTTTCAGTTTGATTTATATACTTAACTAATAACGCTTCTGCACACGGTTTCGTTAGAAAAAAAGTCAGACATTGATATTATAAGGAAATCTAACATGCAGCCATTACTTTTGTTTAGTTTCTAAATGTATACGAGTAAAGTTAAGAAATTTATCCTTAAGTTGTGCACATAGCAGAAAGCGGTATTGTTGATATATCAGGAACTAGATAGCTTCAAGTAGAGCAATACATTTCTCAGTTACGGTACCAGACACAAAAGAGTCAATTCAAAAGACGTGTTTTTCGCTGAAGCTGGTGAAATATTTTCTAACAACGATAGCTTGATCTTTTCAAATTTAGATATATGCTAGGTGATATTAATAATAAAGATATTATTAATATACTTGAAAAAATAATAAGATATTGATAAGAAATTATAAAAAGCAGGTTTATAACGTTGATTACATCCAGATCAGATTAGCATTGGGAAAAATGTAATTGACAGCTTTAGTAGTTTATTTTTGGGAACAAAACATATTTAGATGGACAGAATATATTTGGTTCATGTATAAAAGACAACATCAATAATGTCACAGACGCTGACTCATGTTCACAGATACAAGATCATCACAAAACTCAATTTTCAACAAGTAAACAAAAGTAAAAAGATTGAAAGATTCTCTATATCTTTTATCGAAGAGAACTATGCTTCATAACATTTGATTGAAGAATGAAACAGGAATAAGCACACTATCGTGAACTGCAATAAATGCAACGTTATAGGTACTGAATTAATAATAGAGAGTGGTCCTCGCTATCTATTATTAATTCAGTATTTCACCGTGTGTATCTTACCATAAAGTGAATGCATCGACGACTTCTATAGAAATCCAAGTGGTTTTGATAAATATTTGAGTGAGAAATTTACTACCTGACCAATTAATTCTCCACTTTGTAAAGAATCACGTGATAACATTTTTTTACGGGAAGCTCAAAAGACTATCTCATATGTGGATTACAGTTCCTTTTTATCTGTTTGACAATTATATGAGTCAATTTCATTTGAATAATCTGAAAAAGAAATTATTATTACTATCTTTCATCATTTTTATGCAAAAAAAGATAGGAAAGGTCAAACTTAAATAAGTCAACAAGTCTCTATTTTATCCATGAAGTGGCTGATAACATATTCAGCGAAATATTGGATGGAATAGAGAGTTTTCGATTTATTTAAGAGTTACCCTTCCCTACCGCTAAATTTTCCTTTTTCGCATAATCTAAAAAATGTTTGAATATAGAAGAAAATACTAATTTTTTATCGTTATTCAAATAGTACTGATTTCCTGGATATTTATAATATTTTTTTTAAATTGTTCAAATAAGTATATTTTTCTAGCATTCCAAAAATTACCATTTGCACAATTACACAAGTGCGTCTATTTTATAAATACCTAGATTGATGTATCATACCATTGATACTTTAAACATATTCGTTGAACTAACAAAACAAATAACTCTTGTTACTATTAAGAGAAGTACGAAGACTTGACTTTATAGATATGACTCACGGGCCGTGAGATATCGCATTTACTAATTAATTTATTTAGCGATGCAGATTTTTCAGAGCTAGATTATCCTTTAAATATTAATCGTACTACATTCGAATGAGACATAAATGCATACTCCGTATTGTATTTATCAACTTTAACGATTTATCGGACTCTTTAAAAAAATTGCTTCGAATAAAAGCTTCAGAAAAAAATTATAGGTCTTGAAAGTAATAGAAAAATAATTGATCGTTTGCATACAGATCTAGAGCTGGGTCAACTATCATGATTTTGAAAGTAATATCTAGGTATCGAGGGTAAAAAATCTATCAGTTAACTTAATGCGTAGCGGAAACTGATGATTTTGTCTCCAAGTATCTCGTCGCTGCGAATAGCAGCAGTCAAACTCATAGTTTGAACTCAGTCATAGCTCGAAATGCAAAGCGTGCATTACAAGGTACATATTTCTACAACGTGTTTCTTATGAATACGCGATCCGATTATCTGGTCATTTTGGAATAACTATTGCAGGTAAGCTTATATTAAGATATTGTTATTTTTCGATATGTTTAAATATTATTTTAACACTGCAGATCACGAGAATTTTCCGTAATTGAATACAACATAGGCTAAGTAAGAGATGGCAATTATGAAGGGAACGATATTAGCAATTGTCTGTTTAATTCACATAAACCAGAACAGCGCTGCAAGTCAAATCCAGCGTGACACACTTGATTTTCCGGAGCAAGAGCTGATTTTCAATTACGACTCTTACAGAGACGGAACAGTTACATATGCCACTTGCAGAAAGAACAACGCGACAGACGAGCGCAGGTGCAAAGTAGTACGCGAAAAATCTCCTCATTCGAGGGAAACTGAGTCGTGCGACGTAATGCTGAAACTAAATCACCGCAAAGGCAAGATCGGAAAGAAAGCCGATGAGATTTTCGTAGTACCCTTGGGACAAAATCGCGCTCTCCTTTACTTGATTGAAAAGGGCAAGGATGCGAGTGTCAAATTCGATACTATTAATTTCAGAGATTGTAAGGTTGCTCAAACTGAAATTTCAATTATGAATCCCGATCATAATGCCAAGCAAGCTGTTATCGTTGTCCCTTACAACGAATCCTTTGATGTTTACTACCGAGATACCAACAAATGTGGCGAAACTGGGCATTGCCAGATAACTATTAGCACCGAAGGCAAACAAATTAAAGGACCAGATGCCACTATCGACGTTAATCTATACCTATCATTTTTCCCGTACGTCGTTCCAGTTTCCGACCGATCGCGCGACAGAGGTATTTTTTATATGAAGTACATTGCCGGCAGTACCAACGAGTTTGAATTTATTTTACAAAAATCTAATGGTGAGTGCTTAAACATTGTTCGTTGCAAAATTTCATTAAGTCAATATTCTTTTACTATCAACCTTATTGAGTAGAAACGAGAATTGTTTTGTGTTTTAATTAAGAAATGATTTTGCATTGTAATTCATTTTTAAAAAATTTTAGGAGAGAAGAAATCGCTAGGCATACACAGAGCCTATTATCCAACTATTAAGTCGACGACTCATGATCTCATTGGCGTATGCTTCACCAAAGATCCCAGTAGTTTGACCTTCAACTGTGCTCAATACGATGCGGATGGTAATTTAAAGTTTCAAACCGATGCGGTCTACTCCGGTAAGAATGCCGCAGTCGTTTATGGGTATAATTTGCCAATGGGAGGCTTATTTGTATTCGCCGGCAAATGTGCTAAAACAACTTGTGAATTGGACGAGGTGGATTTCTTCATTATTAAGATTGATTCCACCGGCAAGCAAGTAGGATCATTCAATATTGGAAAATTAAAAATAGATACTGTCATCAAAGGAATCAAGGTGGTTCCTTCGTTGTATACTAACAAAAATAATGAGTATTGTATCTCAATTGCAACCTATAAGAGTGTGGACTCGGGATACCACGACAAAGGTTACATCAGTGCGACAGCTTATTGCTTTACTGAAGCAGATTTTACGAAGTAAATATTCTAATCGAGCACTTTCAAAGAGTATTTTATTCGAAATCCACCATTGATATAATCTCATTCAAATATCCATACAACATTTATTAATTATCAGAATCAACCGAAAGAACTTCCCAACAATCTTTATAATAAATTTCGTTTGAATATATTTTTGCAAAGAATTATCCATTGCAACCTCATTCATGAGTCTAAAACACGATAAAATTCATTCGCTTGTCATTATTGTGTAGTAAACGAATATCAGTCATCGTAAAAAAAGCAATATTTTTCATTACACAAGTAATACCATCGATCAAAAAAACAAGCGAAATTGCTGAAATTTTCCAGAACGATGGATCGAACGAATAACGGACTAGCGCACTCATCGTAACGTGGGAAAAGCGCGAACTCACTCCTTCCTCGCTCTCTCTCTCTCTCTCTCTCTCTCTCTTCTCCCCAAAGCCGCACTGAAAATCCCACAGGGCGACGATGATTAATCGTCTTCCTCGATTTCCGCGAAAGCCTGTGCTCTTTCGCATCGACTCTCTCCTTTGCACCTAAACGCTTTTGCACACACACGTACACAGGAGACCACCACTACCAGAGCCATCACGTCATTCGCAGCAGCCGCACCGACGATAGCGCTATCATGAATAATTTACAGGCTGAAAGCTTTTCGGACAAACATCCTCGCCGCGCCAGCCGGATTTAAAATTCCGATTGACCCCACGTTGGCGATGTTGCGTAGTAGTAGTAGGTAGATACATGCAAGCACGCCATACCGATCGTTTGGGAGAGAGAGGACACGTCTCGATATCGAGATTTCCGTTTGCCGCAGCTTGAAAGTCCAGCACGTCACTGATGGATACACTTTGCTTGCCGCTCGATTTCAGAGAAACGCACGAGTGGGCGAGTGAATTTTCATATTTATTTTTCACCTGGAAATTCATAGCACGTCGATGGCATTGTAGTTGTTTGCTTTCGCGTTTACGCAATAAATTGCCTGTAATTTTCTTAGTTTTATCAATTGTTACATGTCAATGCGAACGACATCTTTGATATTAATTACAAGCCAGCGAATCGCATGATTTTCGTATGTTTCAAATAAATACTTCATATGTAACCTTGAAATTAGAGAGATGTGTAAAACTATTTTGGGAAATTATCAGTGCTAGAATTTATGTTGTTAATTTTTTTTTCATAAGAAACTAATCCCCCGATTTGGCTTGGTTGATGAAAAAATTTATTGGTAATTCCCACAGTAGTTGAACTAGGTCGACGTTCGATCAGATGTGCATTAAAAACAAATCTACATACGTAGAAGCACAAAAGGATGTCCTTTACAAGCAACAAAATTGTCGGTAAAATTGCGCGTATCTGTCAGCAAAAAAGGGAGAAATATCGTTTGGTCAGTGGACTCTTTAATTAAACGTCAGTAGATCTGAACAAGTCTTCAATTATAGACATCATAAATTACAAGAAAACAGCAGCACTTCCCTCGTCCTTTCATTTCGCTTTATCCGGTATCGATAGTTTCCTGCCCCCACCTCGACAGATATATTAAAATTGTAGCTTAGGCAGCGCGGCCAGTAGCCTTAATTGCCTCGTCGACTTCTAATATCGGCAACTCAATCCGAACCCTCCTCACTTGCCAAAAAGCGAGACTCGTGCGTACTGCCATCGAGATTAATCGGTCAATTCTTCTTTTTCGCTTCTTTCGGCGTGATGGCTTGTGCACGTACCAACGCAGTAAATACGCGAGCCGAAAATTCCCCCCAGACTAATTCTCGTATAACAGTCGACCTTCAACAGCTGTATATACTCTCCGCTTCCAAACTTGTAGGCGGGCGAGGGGCTAGAGTGAACGCGTTTAATGTTTGACTCGACGCGGAGTGTGATTGCAGCAACTGTTGGGAAGACCAGTTTTCCCTGTCCTCCTGCGTGCAGCCGAAAGGCTTCTTAGCGATCTGTTCGTCTGACCTAACGCTACTTTCAGCAACGTTTATTATTCTGAAGTTGGCCAGTCTTCTTAGCTCCAACTTCTTAGCTAAAGAATCAATCTCGAATGTATTTCCATTAGCGCTCTTGCGTTCCTGGTGTTCCTGGGTTTCGTCGTAATCGTCAATTAACGAATTAGCGTGCGGTACGCAAGAGCAAATTCAAAATAATACCTCGGTCCCAACAACTTCTTTCATTTACTCTTGGACAAATAAAAAATGATTGGTTTGTCAGAGGCCCTCGAGTCCAGCGCGAGTAATAACAGAGAAAAGTATGCCGGCGCGTGCAGGGGGAGCACACAAGTAGTAACGACAGAAACTGGTCAGCCGACACACGCTCCTCACAAGTGCGCGCGTTCCCACGGGACTTACCGAACTGCCACTAGATTTCTTCTCGCCTGGCATAAACCGCTCGGTTTCTTTCGCTCGAACACGCAAATATTTTACACGCAATTAACGATGCTAGTCTTAGAGCAACCTCTGCCCAGGCGGCTCTCCAGCTGAGGATTGCTCCGAGCTGAATGTCGGCGCTAAAACCACGTTTGGCAATGCCACTTTTACCACTTCGCAAACGAGCACTGCTACGAAAATCTGCGGCGAAGATGCATCGTGGTATATTTTCTGCTTTGAGCGTGTATTTTCGCTTGAGAAAGCTCGGTTGCGCGTGTGTTCTTGTTTTCATTGGCGACCCTGGCGGCCGAGAAAAAGCGGCGGCGCTGGAGCAAACGTCGTTATTTAAAGATTCGAGCAAAAGGAGTGAGTGCGCGCGTGCTCGCGAGGCGTCTCGCCAAGGCTCAAAGTTAACAGAGCGTATCCCGCACCCTAGCCTCTCGCTTCTCCTCTCGCTTCGCCTTTGCTCTTTTCTCTCAAGCTGCGCGGCATGCCTTTCGTGCTTCTTATAATGCCGCTTCGTTTCTTCTCCTCTCCTTCCTTTCGCGCGCGTGTATAATTATGTTTGCTCGCGTGCCCGCGTTAATTCCCCCCGCCCTGTCGCCCCTTCACCAGCTCTGTATTTATTTATTGATTGACGAGACGAGCGCGGCTATCCAGATACACTCGAGCGTGCAAAATTTATTCGGGTAAGCAGTTTTTTTCCCTCGGCAGCCTTGTTGCTTTTAATTCTGTTGGCGCGAGCCTGACGCAAAATACAAGCGCTCGCGAGCTTCGTTTATCGCTGATGCGTCAGATTCTTTTATTAATGTCGACGTGTTGGTCGACGTGATGGTCTACGCTCTATGTTTCTTTCGTAAATTTTAGAATAAGTTTCGTCTGTAGTAAAAGATAACTGGAAGCCAATCATTCGGAGCACCGACTGAAGCACGTCACATCTCCCGAGTAGCCCCAGATAATGATCGCAGTGAGAAAAATGGGGACCAGACGATACTCGAAATTGCAGATTTGTGTAGCTAAGCTCCTCCTCGCTTGGAAATATGTGTGTAGTCTGTAAGTGGTCTTGAGCTTTGCTAGGCGATGTCAGGTGACGCGCCAGGCAACGTCGCGCGGAAGCAAGTTTTCGGTCGAATTGAATGAAGCGTCGACAACGGAAAAAATGTTATTTCCAAGATGAATACGCCAATGACAAGCTGCTATGGCTATATTGCCTCTGCCTTTCTATCTCTTTTACCCGAGTTTCCAGCTACTCTTAACTTTGTCAGATGTTAATGAGTTATAGGATTCGATTTGAATGGCATTTCCTTTATTATACTCCGACTTCAATTAAACGATAGTGTTTCCTCGTTATTGATTTCAAATGGCACAATAATGATGAAATTTAAGACGAGAGTATTTTCACTTGGGCTTCCTTTGATTTATTTTTAATTCTTTTTAATTATTCTGCGTACAAGTAAACAATGTTAACAAAGGTCTTCGTTATCCGCACAACATCATTAAATCTACAAAATCTAATTTCATTTAATGAATCAGCCATCTCATTACGTTTATTTCCTTTTCAAAAGCGATGATGTAAGAAATATCTGATTAAAATTTAATAGCTAGTTGGAACTAAGAGTTCGCCAAGAAAAAAATCAATCATAAAGCCAACGAATAATGCACGCACTGATGCCTCGCGAGCAATCAGCCGCGACTACATACAAAAGAACCTAATCGCAGTCGATTGGTCGGTTTTAGCCACTGAAAAATCGTAGCCACTCTATTCGCAGGCTAATCTGCAACTGATGCAGAACGTAGTACGCGCGGCCACACCATTCGCAAGCGACCCACGATCGATCGCAGGTAGTAGCAAACCCTTTGTTTGGAGCCTTCGATTGACCGGTTAACGTTTTCCCATTTAGCCCGAGCGCTGCCTTTGTTCCATACTTGCGCGTTCCATTAGCCGTCGGGCTCTTGCGCGCGCATTCGTCCAAACCAGCCTAATCGGCAATTCTAACCCTCATTCGGCTATTTCTTGCCGCCGCGATTGTCCTTTTAAACACTAATTACCGGTAATACCAATGCGTTCGATTAAAAAGTTGCAGTCGGACGTAGGTCGCGCAAGGATCAAAGCCCTCCATAGTTTGCAAGTACAATTTTCCTTCGTTTCTTTCGATCGACTGTGCACGGGCGTCAGCGCGGCCCCACTAATGAACCTTTTTTTTCTCCCGGCGCAAAGGACAAGAGGCAGCCAGCGGTGCTATTGACCTGTCAACGTCGCTTGAAAATTGCGTCGACGCGGAATTCCAGAGGACGCGCACGGCTTGCTAATGACATATGTCGCGGATTAGCTCCTTTGACACCGCTACTCTGGCGTACACGCGTACGCATGTACACGCTGATGGATGCATGGCGTGAATTCATCTCTTTCACCGATGGATTCTAACGTTAGTCTTTTCATTTGGCGCAGTTCCAATAGTCGATCTGGAAATATGATGTTCGAAACGCATTTTCGAAATGAACTGAATTCATTCATCGAGTAAAGCGATGAAATATTAAGTTTGAACATACACTATAATTATTATTAATTTGTTATTGTATAACCGCAAATTGGAGCGTGCTTGACGAAATGTATGCGCTGATATGACATTGGTCAGACGTCTCTGACTTAGACGGAAGATCTGTCAATCCAATGTGTGTGTTTGCTCGTGACATGTGCTTGCTTTGAATATAACCATTTAGTATATGACTGCTCAATACAATTTCTACAATAATGAAAATCATCAATTTTATTATTATGCACAGACATTTATAGATTTAGTATGTGACCTAGCAACTTATGGGATTTCACTGTTTTACTTCATTGGAACAGTTAATATTGCTACATAACATTTTTTCATTGAAAAATTGCGTAATCTTGGAATGAATTATGATGATATATGTATATGTTAAGCATCACTATTGTACTTATAAAGTCAAATATTTCCTATTGCATACTAAACTTCAATATACTTTTAATAAATGGTAATTAGTGATTAATTAATTAATGATTCCATAAAAATGGCTATTTATAATTGTAGAGAGTTATGTAAATTATATGAATTCTATTAAAGCAAGGATATTTAATACTGCATTTGCCGATAAACGCAAATGTTGTTATTTATTCATTTCGAGTATAAACTTACAGCTTGAATGAGAAATGTACTAGTAAGCGGAAAATGCTTGTTAAAAGCTTGTTATATCCAACGGTTGTAAAAAGAACAATATCTGCTGAAAACTTTGTCCAATTGTCCAACGAAAAGCCTTGAATTTGAAAAGCTCTCTTAAGTAATCACAGCAAGTAGTTTTCATTAAGGACATTAGCCGATTAAACGGGGTATTAAATTACAAATCCAACGAGCAGCAGCAGTAGCAGCAGCAACAACGAAAGCTCCTTTTCTCTGGCGCAAGTGTACACATTCGACTTCACGCAACATTAAATTTAACGTACGACATATCTAATCAGGCTTGAAGTAATACACTACGCACGCATAGCACTGATTTCCCTTGTAAATATACTGCATAGAGGCTGAATTGTAGCGTCGAGCGAATACCGAATTAAAATAATTGTATATGCGCAAACACAGGCATCCGTTAAAATACTTATCGCGGATTTGTTAGGCCTGTGGACGTATATATGCATAAGTGTGTAACGGAGAGAAAGGGGGAGGGAAAGTGGGTTTATACAGCAGCAGCGGCAGCAGTGGCAGCAGCAGCAGCAGCGTGCGCGAGGCTGAGAGAGAGGGATGGCCGATGGCCAAATACACGCTAGGCCGAGCGTG